CTTCTGCTGACCTTTCATCCGGACGGATATCAGGTCTCCGTCGATGCCCCTCTTGGCTCCTGGGACCATTGTCTGATCCGGATTACGGTGCCACTCACCCACCGCGGTTGCGTAATGCAGATTGCCGCCGTGTTTGGCATTATAGGTCAGCCAATTGGGACGGGATGCGATCGTTTTTGCACCTTCCCTTGGAGGCAGATTTGCCTCTCGCCGGATGATCCCAACGTTGTTGCTGATTCTGTCGCTGATGTGGTGCTGGGAATGGAACTTTTTATTCCATTATCTGTGGTACGTATCAAAGGCAGAACCCAGCCATGGTTTGGTCGCTCCCGCAAAATTGCATTACGTCGTAAGCAAGAGTGCTACCAGGCCTGGGCTCACGCATCGACGTCTCGGGATGCAAACACCAGCGCTCTTATGAAATGAAATGAAATGAATGATTTTTATTCAATATAGATTATTGTATAATACTTATTGAAAGTTATTTTTTATTTACCACTGGTTCAAATGGTTCAGCAAAAACCAGATGATTATACCACCATCTATCGGAAGCCATAAGATTTTTCTGACATTTCTCATAGTCATTTTTTACGAGATCCAAGGGACAATATGGCTAAATGCGTGTCTCGTTTGGTTGATTAAAGTTACATTGGGCACAGGCCTCCCCTCATTTCTGAGAGGGTTTTTTTTTAGGGCAAGGACGTGTCCGCCGCGCTGCGCCAATGCGTGTTGGCAAACTTCACATGTCTTCGAAATATTTTTTTTATTCCTCAGACATGCAGGTTTCCCCACGATGTTTTCCTTCACCGTCGAGCACGTGGTAAATCAACACTTAAAATTGCAATTAACAATTTCATTGTTGCCGGCGGGGATCGAACCAGGGTTACTCGTGTTCTGTTATATTTACAGCGAGCGTTAACCATCTGAGCTACCACGGCTTTAGTTGATTATTTTTATAAAATTACGGCTATCACGGAACTAAATGTGGCAATAGATTCTTCCACGACGTTACTACTTCGCTAATCTCGTGTCTTGCTTAGTAAAATATAATTAATTTCACTGAACAGTGAATTTCACAGTGGGTTTTCGTAAATTGAAGTGTTTGATTTCTATGCAAAGATTCGATTTCTAACGGAAACTAAATTCTAATTCTCGTTTAAATAATGGTTTCTGGACGCTCCAGCGCTTAGTTTGAATAGGAACAGCGAGCAGATGCATTTAATGTGCGCTACACCGGAATGTTGACAGACGCAAGACGCCGCACAATGGGTTTCCAGAGCAAGAAGGCGCCTTGTACCTTCGCCTACCGCTTGCAAAACACACGGCTCACACGGTTATTGCAAGCATATGCACATAAATTACAATGAGATTATATGAACTTGCTTCTAAAATGGATTTTGTAATAAATATTTAAACTTACATAATTTTGTACGCATAACGTAATTTTGTTTGTCGTGTAGTGGTGGCGTAAGAAAATACACTACCACTAGAATTAAACCCGTGGTTGTTGTAAGAGTTGACAGAAATTGAAAAGGGAGATGGGCTACAGCATTTTCCTGATAACAACTCAAAATATTAAAAAAAACTGCGGTTACCTACCCGCTTGCCATACCAAGCTTGGTAAATGTCCCCGTAACAGGCATTCTATACGAGAGGCCTCTAAATAATTCTAAAAATAAATAATTTTTAATTTTGCACAAATATAAGCTCAAGTAGTATTTAGTACAAACCATAGACTAGGAATGAACAATCAAAGAAACAGATTTAATAAATATCATTTCACATTATTTTGTTAAATTCGCAAACAAAAGAAATTGAATTATATCGCAGATATACAAAATCATGTAGCTTTTTATAAACTAACCTAAAATGATATTCCTTTTGGGAAATTGGGAATTATATTCTTATATTTTTCTCATGTACAAAGACATAAAGGTACCTTACATGAGCGTTCGAAATCTAAAGTAAACCTAGAGGACGGTCTATAGACTTAAAAAATAAGTCCATAGCTATATCATATCTATGGACTTATTTTTTAGTATATCGCTGTTAAGGGAATTCAATCAAAGAATCAATTCAAATAAGGTTGTCGTGTCTTTTTTACTGTTTTCGTAAATTCTATTTTAATATTTTAATTTCTCAAAGAGAAAAAAGTGTGGCGGTTCAATTGTCTAAGTGATGAGTAGAGAGACATAGTTTGTGGTGTTCGTTTGGGGGAGACCTAGAGAGAGGTTCCGCAGTGGGCTTGTGACGGGCTGTAACGACGATGATGATAATAATGTTCCTTTTTTTTACTTATCATAATGGTCATCATCATTACAGCCTATCAAAAGTCTTCTGCAGAACTCTCGCTCAAATCGCCTCATCTTAGAGATTTTGCCATAGGTGTCACGCATCGGGTGGGTCACAACACTTTACTTTATTTTTCAGTTGTTATCAGAAAGATTGTCTTCTATGACTACCTTTGTTTCAAGTTCGTTACAGTTGCCTATGGGCTACAATAACCACTTATCATCATGGAATATTCGCGTATTTATACTATAAGTGGCAGAATATGCTATACATAAGTTCGGGGAAAAAGTTTCGTCGTATTTTACATAAATATTCAAGACATTTTTTTTAAACTTTTTTTTTTAATTTTATTCAAAATATATGTGTGCCATTTTGTCCAATAGCTTGTTGTCATCTTGTAGGTAGTGACATAATCTCGTGAACGTAGAAATCTTGGGATATTTGATCAAAAATGCGACAAGTAGTCCTCTCCTGCTGATAACTTAACACTACCAATATTACGTCATCGCAAATGAGTACCCGATTCATTAGGTTTCTTTAAGTGAACTCGTGAATATCGGCTTTTTGTGTACAAGCCAGACCCTTTCAAATGGATCAAAACTGTTTTGTGGTCAATTCTCAATTCCTCGGCTATGTCGTAACTACTACTATGCCTATCTTGGTCCACTTTTTCAAAATGGCAGGTATGACGGCGACCCGAGCGAGTTGCATCTTTGATATCAAAATTCCCAGACTGAAAATGTTTGAACCAACTGTATGATCCATTTACTGACGCTGCATTAGGTCCATAAACGTCACAAATTTTTTCGCAACTTGAGTCGCATTTTCCCTTTGTTGTAATAAATCTTCAGAATGTATCGCATTTTTCCGTTAGATTCACTCAATTTGTCAGACAGAAAAACTATTGAAAAATGGTGGGAAAATTGTTTTTAATTTTTCCTTTAATTTTTCTAAATGTCCATGTATTGATATTAAAACCAGCCAGATACAAACAGAACAACCAAAGAGAATTTTCTTCAATTTTATACAAAAAAATACAATGAAACTTTTTTCCTCGACCTGCTACTAACTACCCTACCTATTTGTGGCACGTATGGGTCAGCTCTGTCAGGGAAGGACCACGCTCTCGCTCAATACCAGCTTGAAATAGCAACCTCATGCTGCTGCATTTCATATGATGAGTGTAGAGAACCAGAAATAGAAATAGAAATAGAAATAGAAATAGAAACTTTTTTATTCAATGTAGAATATAAAAATACTTATTGAAAGTCACTTTTTTAATTTACCACTGGTTCGCAAAAAAAACCTCTGTCCTGGGAAGAACCAGCAAGAAACCCAGCGGGACTATTTTTTTTAAATAATACCTAACAATCATGTTTACAATCAACAACACAAGACAAATTAGAAAAAGCTTGGTAGCGATCACCCTTCCCAGGGGTTATTATCATCTATAAATTCCTTAATATTATAACAACCCTTTTTATACAAACTTAGTTTAATAACATTTTTGAACTCTGTGTATGACAAATTTTGTATATTTTCTGGGATTTTGTTGTAAAAGCGTATACATCGCCCCAAGAATGAATTACTGACTCGGTGGAGGCAAGTAACTGGTACTACCAGCTTGTGTCTGCTCCTAGCATTTAGACAGAATGAATATCACTTATTTTCGCAAAACTACTTTTATTTTTATGTACGTACATTACATTTTCATAAATGTATTGAGAGGCCAGAGTTAATATATTAATTTCCTTAAATTTTTGTCTCAGTGACTCAGTGATTATATATTGCTCTAATGGCCCTCTTCTGTAAAATAAATATAATTTCAGTGTCAGTCGCGTGTCCCCATAGCAAAATACCATACGACATAATGCTATGGAAATAACTAAACTATTCTAGCTGTTTCAACACTGGTAAGAGTTCTAATCTTTTTTACAGCATATGCTGCAGAACTAAGTCTGCTAGCTAGTTTTGATATATGGGGGAGCCATTGAAGCTTTGCGTCCAGTGTGATTCCAAGAAAAATGGTGGTATCAACAAGAATCAGTTCCTCCCCATTTAAAATTACATTAGTATTGACATGTTTGACATTAGGAGTTACGAATTTCATACATTTAGTTTTAGTTCCATTTAAATGCAAATTATTAACATTAAACCAATTGACTAACTTAGCTGGTGCCCCGTCAAAACAGCCCCGACAAAACAGCCCCCGACAAAACAGCCCCCCGACAAAACAGCCCCGACAAAATAGCCCACCGACAAAACAGCCACCGTCAAAACAGCCCCTGACAAAACAGCCCCTGACAAAACAGCCTAAGTCAAAATAAATACCATACATATCTATAGAATTTATGACTATACTTATACCGTGTATCTACTTCAGTTGGCGATATATGGGAAACTTTTCTATTGTGAGTTTTAGCAAGAAATTATTGAAAAAAATTGTAAGTGGTGTAAAACGAATGTTAATACTTTACGTGACTTTTTTGGTTCATTTTATGTATTTTTTGTTTTCAACAAAACTATTGCATCGTCTACACACGAAATAAAAACAAAAATAAATGTAGGTATAAAATTATATTATAATGTATATTTACAAACAAAATTCTAAAAACTATATTCGTCAAAGGTTATTAATTACAAAGGTTACAATTATTATTAATTATTATAAAATAAAAATAAATGAAGTTATGTAATAATATATCAATTTATAATGTCAGATTGTTGGAAATTCCGCGGAGATACGGTAAAAGGTCGTCGTTGTTATAATTTCCCATAAGAGTTTCCAATCGACGATTAAGTTGCACATACTTCTTTTTGGAAGCTTCGGGATTTCTGAAGCCGGCTCGAAAACGTTCCAACTCTATTTTTACCCGGTCTTGTTCCTTCCTGAAGTGGTCTATTAATTTGAAAATACATAGATGGTGACAGTCAACGGTGTATTGGAAAGCATGATGCCATCCTTCTACAGAGTTGTTTGTACGCGGAAGGCCCTGGTGCACTCTATCATGAACATTCCATACATGAATAGGAAATTTTGGATCTGCTCTCCGATTTCTTCTTTGCCGTCCTATATAAGTATCTTCCCAGTAATCGATGACTGCATCAATTTTTCGTGGACAGCTTTCGGTTAGCTCCTCAAAAGCAGTGATTACGTCGCCCTCTTGGACAAAAGATAACGCTAGTAACATTTTCAAATGCATTCTCACATTTTCGTCATTGCGATATTCTTCTACAAGATGTAGCTCTTGGATTTTCCTCCATAAACACTGCCCTAAGTGGAATAAACAACCCGTCACCTGAACACCATGAAATACCTGGGAAACTGTATTTTGGAACGCTTTCTCGAAGTCGGATAAGCAGCTTATTGGATTTAAAGTGGGTTTCAACTCCATCAACTTTTGAAACACTCGACCATATGTTTCTTCTCGTTTATCCTGTAGAAGCACGTAAATCAACGGAATAGAACGGTTATCTACCAATGCATGAATGGTAAATACTTGTAAAAATAATTGTGGGGCTACTTTAAAGGTTCTATCTACGTGCCAGTGCCGGTGCTCCTCTAAAACTTCCAAATTTTCTTTAGTACCAAACATGAAGATGCGATGAGGATCATTCTGTCCAGAATCCCATAACAAGAAATTTAGATTTCTTGAAGTGACTTGTAGTGCAACAGGAATATTAATATCGGCAACATAGCCTGGGTTTGGGCACGACACTTCACGCTTTTGCCGAATACGCTCAACAGTTCTCTGAGATGCATTGTACGATGGCAAATATCTACAACAACGAATAATTAAAAATAAGTAATTTATTAACACTTCCCATGTATTTCTAAATGACCCATACTCGTTCAATAGCAATAAGAGGATTATCGCCGCAAGAGGTACAATAGGTATTGTAAACACATTACAAATTACTTTCTTAAAGCGATGAACGGACTATAAGTTATTATAACATTTATTCAAATCTGCTAATCGGCCGAAACGTAAATCGCCCCTTCTTGGAACCTACTCATAATAGGTAAGTTAATTAAATTGAAAGCTGAATATAAAATTCCACAATATATTCACAGAAATAATTATTATTATTATATTATATTTTCATTATGTAATATACTCTGAAGATAAAAAGCACGATTATCAATGCAACTAGCAAAGTAATAATATTATACTACCTACAACGATCATATTTCGTAAATTACTTACTTAGTTTTATAATTATTTATTTATTATTATACTTTTATGTTTTGTCTGTTTGTTGTTTGTCTGTTTTGTCGGGGGCTGTTTTGTCGGAGCTGTTTTGTCGGGGCTATTCTGTCCGGGGCTGTTATGTCGGGGAACCAACTTAGCTATAGCATTATTTACTTCGTCGTAATTTAATAACTGTCGTAAAGACAGAGACTTTTTTTATAGGAAACGAGGCATTCCTATAAAAGGCATCTGATTCTGCATTTCGATTCCTAGTCGACAGTGGATGTATGTGGGCAGTAGGTGTCTATGGGCCACAGCATCCACTTACCATGAAGTGGACGGTGTGTTGATTTGTATCCCTCATTCTAAAAAGAAATCTACTTTTTAGTAGGTAAGCGTGATAGACATAAAAACATCCAGCCTCGGTTGAGAATCAAAATGCTTACGTTATTAAGAAATAATAGAGATGGAATACTACCTTATCAGTTAAAAGGGTCTTCGGATCTTCACACTTACCACAAGAGACTAAGCAAAATTACGTTGATATTTACCTTGGCACTTTAAGAAAGTGATCCTTCCCCGATTGAGCCGACCTATTCATACTGCAGTAACAATAAAACAAACTAAATTTCCTCAAATAATCCGAGCAAGCTCACAGGCATTGTAAATGTCATATAAAATCGTGATATCGTTTTCTTTAGTGCCCTTATGTAAGACGCTGTTGGGTATCGTCTTGAGAACTTTTTTCCACTCAGTATTAAACAAATATTACGTATAGAGACTGGCGACAGAAAATGTGATAGAAAGGAATGGGTAATGTCGCCAAATTGCTGTGTCCTTTCGCAGCCTTATCACTGTGCTGTGATTTTTCTCCGCGTGGAAAAGAAAACCGATATGGGTCTATTTATAAAATAATGGCCAAGTGTCCTTATTTGCAAATAAAATTGGTATCGATTTTATAATGTAAATTTATACACTGAAATATTTTCGTGTTTAAGGTGATAAAGAAGTTTATGAGTTTGTCATACTACTTGGGGGCTGGTTGGCGATTAATATTTAACATGCTAAAATGCAGATGTGTTGTCACCCCTGAGACTGAGATTAAATTGCTATTTCCAGTAAAAAAGGTCTCCGCGGTTTACTACACTCATCATAAGACAGCCGGCAGCATTAAACTGATATTTTACGCTGATATTCTGTGAGAGCTTGGTCATTTCCTGGTGGAGTTAACCCATTCGTGCTACAACCAAAACATAGCTGTGTATGGTTGTATCATGTATAAGAGGAAGCATTGGACAAATTAGCAGAAGTGTTGGCATCGCAATATACTTATGAAAATGTAATGTATGTACATAAAAACATAAACAGCTTTCATAAGAATAAAGATGTTCATACTTTAAACACTAGGAACAAACATAAGCTTGTAATATAAATTCCTACACTCCAGAGAATTAGTAATTCATTTATGGGGCAATGTATACGCCTTTACAACAAAATCCTGGAAATAGTACAAAATTTGTCATAAAACAAATTTAAATGTCTTATTAAAGAAAAATTGTACAAAGAAAGTTATTATAATCATCCAATCAATGAATACATAAATGAAAATAACCCCTGGGAATGAGATGATCGCCATCATGCTATTTCTATAAAAATTCATACAAAAATTGTACAAAATAAATTTACTGTAAATCGAAATATGTTTAAACTTTACCACTGCTGGATATAGATAGGTACAGGCGTTGTACGACAAGGAATAGTCCACTTCGCTGCTTCAGTGCTTATTGACAGAATTCATGTAACAGTAAGAAAGATTGGAAGTCTCATTAACGTTGAGACAGCTAGATTAGTTTTTTTATATATTGAAGAGGGGGCAAACGAGCATACGGCTCACCTGATGGTAAGTGACTACCGCCGCCCATGAACAACCGTAACCCCAAATTGCAGATGTTGCAGCTCTTTTCTTGAAGGTCCCTAAGTTGTGTCGATCCGGAAAAGTCGCCGGTGGTAAACAATTCCACAGAGAAGTTGTACGAGATGGAAAACTCCTAGTAAAACGTACAGTAGCGGACCGCCAAGTATCCAGATGGTGAGGATGGTATCGGGAATTTTGACGCGATGTGCGTTCGTGAAATTTGGCGGCTGGAACTAATCCGAACAATTCCTCAGAACACTCCCCATGGTAGATACGATAGAAAACGCAAAGGGATGCAACATCCCTATGCAGCGCCAGTGAATCGAGCCGATCAGAAAGAACTCGGTCTTCGACGATTCGAATCGCTCTGCACTGGATACGGTCAGGTGGAAGGAGCTGGCACTGGAGTGCCCCGGCCCAGAGATGAGAACAGTATTTAGTTGCAAGCGATAAAAAAGTAAATTTACAGCCTATATGCGGCCCACTGCTGGGCACAGGCCTCCCCTCATTTCTGAGGGGGTTTTTAGGGCAAGGAAGTATTCGCCGCGCTGCCCCAATGCGTGTTGGCGAACTTCACATGTCTTCGAAGTATGTTTTTTTTCTTATTCCTAAGACATACATACAGGTTTTTCTTTTCTCGATGTTTCATTCTCACGATGTTTTCCTTCACCGCCGAGTGCGTGGTAAATCAGCACTCATAATTGCAATTAACAATTTCATTGGTGTCGGCGGGAATCGAACCCGGTTCTATTATATTTACAGCGAGCGTCAACCATCTGAGCTACCACGGCTCGTTATCGCGATGTGCTGGCATGAAATACTGTCTCGCTCTACTGAGCACGCCAAGCTTTTTAGAGGCCAATTTGGACTTCCCCTCCAAGTGATAACGATTGCACACTATTCGATATGGCGACGCCGAGGATTCAGATGCTAGGTGGGGCAGCAAGGGAGTGCCTTCAAACTGAGGAGATACGACAAAGGGGTTCTTTTTAACGGTCAACGCGCAAACTTGTGTCTTCTATGGATTGAATTGGACTGGATCTAGTCGCCCCAATCCGAGACTATCAAAGAATAAAATTGATAATAACCCCTCGAAATGAGGTGATCGTCGCCATGCGGGTTCTACAAACATTTATTACAAATTGTAAAAACAAAATTATTTTAAAGTGAAATATTCCGTTTATAAAATAATTCCGCTGGGTTTCTTGCTGGTTGTTCCCAGGACAGAGGTTTTTCTTCCGAACCTGTTGCAAATAAAAAATGACTTTCAATAAGTATTATGCAATAATCTACATTGAATAAAAAATCATTCATTCATTCAGACGTGAGACTTATCTTAAATAAGTCGCAACACGGAGGGCACCATTACAATAACTTCTGAAGTATCGAACTTTATAATAATAATAATAATAAGTTCTTTATTTCCAAGAGGTTGTACATCACGATATTTGCATAACATTATTTAATAAAGCTACATTAGTACATATACTTGAAAACATAGCATCTGCAGCCGAACTAGGAGACCTGTGCATTAGCTGTCAGCGCCATATCCCCACCGTTAATTTATAGAAATATTAGGATGCAAGCAAAAGTTAAATAATCAAATACTATCTAAAAATTTGTACATTCCGCTAATATAACCTAAGTACAATGAAATTAATTGTATCACATATTATGTTTATATACTATGTTACTACTTATTACTAATACCAGGGTACAAATAAAAAAAAATAATTTATACTACTAATGCCGTTCCTCTCTCATAAGATGTGTAATGTATGACTGTAAGAAGTAATTGTGTTATGAGTGTAATGTGTGTGAGCAGTTATGGGAGAGGAGCGTGTAAAATGTGTGTGTGTGTGTGTGTGTGTGTGTGTGTGTGTGTGTGTGTGTTTGCGTACGTGCGTGTGTATGTGTCTGGTTATTATGATTTTATACGGGTAGTATTACAGGTGACAGTTATATAAGAATTTATTTTTAAGTCTGAATACTAAGCAGGTTTTCAGTTTCATTATAAGTTAATTTTTGTAGGTAATTATGTACAGTTTTTTTACAGTTTTACTTTAGATTTCATGTACTCGGAACCACATGGATCCCTCAGAATTGAGTGACCGATTTAGGTTATGAGTACCGTACTCAAACTATTGACAATGCGTACTGCACTTGCACAACCATAGCGCTTAATCGTTTTATGGCCGAGACTGCCACAAACGATGGCGTCTCTTTTGTTTGTGTGACATGTACTTATATAATTAATCCATATTCTCTCTCGGTCCCAGTACTCTCTCCAGCAATGAAAACAAATAATCGAATTTTGCTGGACTATCTCGTACAAATTACTTGTAATAATTGAATTTTTATCAAAAATTGTTATAATTAATAAGTGCCACATAAATTCAGATTGAAACTCAACTCGCAACCTACAGCTTACTCGTAAGATCCTCTTCATTAATTAATTTTATTGTTGAATAGTTAGATGTGAAAACTA